CACACACCCCCCAACACCACCAACACACACCCCCCACCACCAACACACACCCCCCAACACACACCCTCCAATATTTATTATTATATATTCTTGTATGAGCGACCGCTTCTTTCCTTCAGAAACCAATTTTTGGAATTCTCTCTCCTCTTGTGTTTTTCCTCTCCCTACAATGTCTTTCCTTAAGTTTTGGCTCTATGACTATGCTGAACATATTTCAGTAATTTCCCACAGGGAGAGGTGACATGTGAATTTTAACCCTTTATCAGCAGCAAAGGATTTCCTACTCCACCCCCATATGCACAAAAAGGAAAAGTAGGAAAAAGTCTCATTGTTCCTGTAGGGTAGTTAACTTCTACTGAGGATTGGTGCCATTTAAAGGTTAACAAGAAAGGCGGTGTGGTGCCCCTACACAACCCCAACCTATCTGCAAAAAATAGACCAATATTTCTACTGAATGTTGAAATTTATGACCCACAGTTATCCTTGAGGTAGAAAATTGGTCTGCTGTATGATGCTGTAATCACTGAATAGAACAATTGTTTGTTAATTTTTATTCCTAAATTATTGACTGTTTTAATGATGTACAGTCTCGTTCAAGATTCTTCGAACACTGCTGGGGACAGCTGGCAACTCAAGGCCGTTTGTTTACTATAGTACGTTGTAAAAATTATAAATGGATGTAAAAGGTTATCAGTGATTAGTTACTTAGTTCCCCGCTGCTTAATTCATGGTTGGGCTTTGTTGTTTTGTATTATATTATACTACGTACTATAGTAAACAAACGGTCTTGAGTTGCCAGCTGTCTCCAGCAGTGTTCGAAGAATCTTGAATGAGACTGTACCACATCTCTCTATATCTTTTAATTTCCATTATACAGTATGCTGCATTGTAAACTTGATATGGCATCATATATTTGCAGAGGACATCTTTCTCAATGATCCAGAATTTAAGGATCCTGTTACTTTTACTTTTATCCTCTTCGCCACTGATCGGCTCATTAGCCGCTTGGGCGATCGGTCACGTCTCTGATTACTTTTCCTTTTCATTTATCCTTTTCACCAAAAGATCGGCTTGCTAGCCGCCCGGGCGATCGGTCACGTCTCTGTCACGCACTGTTGGCAAATACTGGGCATGCACTGGCTGTTGGACCAGAATATATGAGCCATGAAGACCGCTATACCAATGAACTTCGAAAGGCATATCATATGATTACTAAATTTAAAGAGGAAAAGCAAGTCCTTAATGACCCCAATGGTATCAGGTAGGTTTATTGATGCTATGTACAGTATTTGAACTTCATGTCTAGGATATATACTGTACACAGTAATATTTACTTTTATATTGATTTCATATCAGCTTTAATTTTTTAAGCGTGGCGCGGGGTTATGCAATGTTTACAGTGCAGGTTCGACATCACTTGTTCAATTGATTCGTGTCTTTTGTTTGTGAAGTGTTGTTTTGAGAGGTACTCTGTAAATTTCGGTTTTTTTTTTCTCTCTAAATTTAGCTGTTACCCAGAAATACTGTATGAACAGAATAAGTAAAAAGAATGCTTTTCATTACTGACTAATAACGGTTTACACCAGCGCTTTCTGTTTACATTACGTGATCAGTTGAATCGTGCGGTTTCTGTCAATTACTTTGTGATTTTCACTGTTTTCTCCAATTTTGTTGTGTTAGCGATGAACATGGAAAGACAAGGTAAGAAGAATGTTTCCAAGAAGCGTTCTGGTGAACGTAAAAGAAGTTAACAAGAACGCACCTATCGCGTTGTAACTGCCCGGGTTGCTATTGTGTGCTTTTTTGGGTGATGTCAGAGGATGGTGTGTGCATGTAAATGAGTAAGAATAAATGAAGAAAGTTACGTATATCTTCTCGAAAATATGAGTTAAAAAACTTGTATGCAAATGTACTACACTAGATTAAAAATTTTATCTCTTGTGCAAACTATGTGATGTTTATACTCAAATTAATCACCACCTTACAAGGATTCCAGCAATGCAATTTGTATTCTGCTAAATCTAGTCAGCTACATTTAATAAGATAAAAACTTTAAGCCTAAAATTGCCTTCACCCTGGCGCTGGCTGGGAGGGAGGGAAGTTCAGTGCCCTCTCATAATTTTGTCCGGACTAAAGGAGGTGCCGGACCATCAGTTACCAGAAATCGGTGGTGGACTTGTATCTGTACTTTGAAAAATTCATCCCTATTATTTGAAACTGAGTATTTTTTTAATCTTTAAGTTTTAATTATTGTCTATTCTCTCTATTTCAGAGTATATGATAAAGCATTGCAGAGTCCTTTAAAGCTGAAAGATGTCCCAGAGGCTTACTATGAGTGTTTACGACCACTGATGAAGTCAAATCTGTAGATCTAAATTATCTTTGGTTGTTTTATCAAGAAGTGCCTAAAAGGGAATTACAGACAGGCCCATAGCCAGCTTTTTCTTGGGGGCTCAAAGTTTATGATGTAGTAGAAGTGTAGTGGGAAGGTTTACACAAAGGTCATTAAGGGGCACGTAAAAATTTCCTTCATGCATTAATCAGATCCTCTTTTATAAATGTCTTACAGTTTAGTTGTAAGTGAAGTAATTACACACAAATTTCTCCAGCATTATTCTTAGGTTGTTATTTTGTACAATGATATTAAAATACAGTAACCAAATTTTGAATTTTTTTTTTTATTAGAAAAAAATGTCCTGCAAAGAAAAATTTTGTTTAAAATTCGGTCTGAAATTTGATCCCATAATATTTAATAATTAGATCAGCAACCTGGTACAGATTAACCCCTTCACTATGGGATGCCACTTTTAATACCAGATGATTTTATTCAATATAATGAATAGGAATAAGTGCCACAACTGACAGTCTGCTCTCAATCATACTTCATCACATGTAGTTGTGTAGTCATCACAGTACCGAAAAGGTTCTCTCACACTGCCCTCGCCACAGGAAGTGTTTCTCCTAGTGTTATTACTTCACTTATGTTAGGATACATATCTTCATGGCAAACTTTCAACATCTTCACAAGGGTACCAGCATACTCACTTAGCTCGAGACCCATGTTAGGGTTTCTCCATACATTGTTTTTTTTCTTTTTTCTTTTTTGTACAAACTTGAGGATTTGGGAGGTCTTCTTCAAACAGTGTAGAAAGCTCACTATCATTTGGTGTGGTTGGACTGTTGCACAGGAGTGATAGTAAAGGGTACAGGTATTGTATTTTTCTTTTTACTGTAATGCTAAACCAGATATAGCTCAAATTTTGTGCAGGTTTGTGTTACCTGTGAACATATCAGTTAATTCAGTAGCAATGTGATCAAAGAAAGGTATTGCCACGTTGATCATATAGTGAGGCTCTGGGTCAGTTGCTTGAATGATGTTACGATGGATGGCAATGCCTCAAGGCCTATGAGGCATTGATGGAGCAACACTACTTTCAACCATGAGCACAACTCAGACTTACCATGTACAGTAGCTAAAACAACTATCTGTGCAGGTGGGGGTCAATATGCTCCGAATTTTTACACGTGACTAGTGACAGCTCTCATATACAGTCAGTTCTGCTATAACGCGATAGTTGTGTTCTTGTAAAATATCGTGTTATAGAAAATCGCGTAATAGAAATAACAGGGCTTATGGAGAAAATAGGGTTAGGTGCAGATTACTACTCGAAATCGAAAAAAATTAGTAGTTAGCCTAACACAAAGGATAGCACAGTCTAAATAAATGTTACATTCATATCTAATAATGAAATCATACAGTAAATGTAACACTTTACCTTGAAAAAATATGAATATAACTTGATGGGGGAGAAGGGTGATTTTGAGGTTGATAACATCGAGCTTCTCTTCAAGTGTTATATCCTTTCTTTTGCGATCATCACCGGGAATTCGATCACCAGAACGCTTCTTGGAGATATTCTTCTTTACCATATTCACAGTTAATACCACAAAATTGGAGAAATAGTAAGCAAAAATCGCGTTACAGCAAACAAGCGTTCGCGTTATACAAATATCGTTCCTCTATTCATAGATCGCGTTAGAGCAAATTCGCGTTATCAAAACACGCGTTATAGCAGAACTCACTGTACCAAAATTTATCGTCCATGGCCTCAAATTGTTTCCGACAAAGTATGCACAGATAGTTGTTTTAGCTACTGTACATAATTATGTAAGACTTTATATTCATGCTTAACTTGTCACCTTCAAAATAAGCAATAATTATTTATCAGTTATTTTATACTGAATGGCTTTGCCAAAGAATATTTTCTTCCCGTTTTTAGTGTGAATAATAGGGCTATGGTTGAGACTTTTACAAAAACTCAGATTTGTAATTAGGTCAAACATTTTTACTATTGCATGCTGACATTACAGAACTCTGTACTGTTTATCTATTTTTTCACAGTTTATGATATTTACTAAAAAAGATGGAGTTAATTAATATAAAATGGGGAGACTATTTTTCCAAGGGGTTCTTGATTCGAGTCCCTCAACCCCCCCTGATTATGAGCATCTAAGGATAGGTCAGTACAGTTCCTTGTATAAAATAGAATAGTAGTAAGCTGGCAAAGGAAGGAGAAATTTAACCTTTTGCTGCAATACCAAGACAAATCCAGAGATATGAATGTGTAATAAGCCACAATAAGTTTGAAGGTCCCACATGGTTGGTCCACCCTCCTCTGACCATGAAATGGCTTTTCTATCTGGTAAGTGCTGCCATCGCTTGATGGCAAGTGTAAACCCCTACTAACTCTGCTTCTCAACCATGTACTGGTGATTTGCAATTATGATGTTTTCTTTATTATTTAGAGAAGTTATTAATGTTATATTGCTATGATATAGTCAAGGTTGACTTTATTCTCAAGGTTACAAGTGATACTCTCTCGATGCTGGTCATGGTACAACTGTCCTGACTGGCGAACAACTGGTGTCACCCCAATTTGGCTGACTGTGCAGACAACCAAGCAGTTAACAGGAATAGATGGAAATAAATAACATAAAAGTGAACATGCCATACTTTTCAGAATGTAATTACACAATACAATACAATTTGAACATAATACAGGTACTGTACTGTAGTACAATACATAATATTTTCACTGTTGTGAAATTGTACATTATACTGTACCATTACAAATTATGATACATTATTAAGTCTATTGGACATTGGTAAATTTGGTGAATCAATTTTTTACACCTAAAAGCACTTAATTTAAGACCAAAGAAGAAATAGAATGACAAAATACAGTAAATGAAAGCAAAAAATAAGTCATCAGGTAAATAAATACTGTAAATTTCAAGTTAGACCCCGTTCGTTTCGGCGGGCGTTCATAAGTCGGGGACCTCCTGTATAATATGACAATACTGTAAATGCAAACACTTAAATTTAACTTGCTAGAAACAATGTTGGGTGCTGCAGGTGGTGGTGTGATCGGAGTTACTGGGAGTTACCTACATAAAACATCAAGATGAAATTTCCAATGCATTTCCAATGTGAAATCTTTTATCATCACTGCTTTCACTTGAACTTGATGGTCTTTTTCACTCGGTTTGAATAAGGGTACACAGTAATACAGATGCATAACTGAACACAAACTGGGGAAGGAATCAAAACTTAGCAGTACCATTGTTGTTGTGGTTGCTAGTAGCTGGAGACTGGAGAGGTGAACCACCCACCAACGGTCTTGTAGCTGCCACTAGAATCCACACAAAATAAATTTTATAATTTCGGTAAAATTCTTTGTTCTCTATAGCTATTTTTCTTTTGAAAATCTTTATAAATTAACCATAATTCCATAATTCCATAACTGAACACAAGCTGGGGAAAGGATTCAAACTGAGACTGGAGAGATGAGCTGGGCCGTCACCAGCCGTCTTGTAGCTACCACCAAGAATCCACACAAAATAAATTTTATAATTTCGGTGAAATTCTTTGTTCTCTATAGCTATTTTTCTTTTGAAAATCTTTATAAATTAACTATAATTCCATAATTCCATAACTGAACACAAGCTGGGGAAAGGATTCAAACTGAGACTGGAGAGATGAGCTGTGCCGTCCACCAGCCATCTTGTAGCTATCACCAAGAATCAACACAAAATTTGGGTGAATTTCTTTGTTATATAGGTATTACGATTTTGATGTTTGAAAAATTAATAAGTTTACAAAAATTCTGTAAGGGCGAGTTTTTTGTCTATATTGCGAATTTTTGGTTCATACAGGTACCGTAATTTCAAAATTCCATAAGGGCGAATTTCCGTAACCCAGGATTCTGCATCTCGGGGGTTGCCTGTATATAATCTCTAAATTGAAGTTATGACAAACAAGTGAAAGGAATGTGTTCGTACCAAAACTTATGATGGCCAATGATGACTTAACTTTTGATTAGTCAGGCCAGTGACTAAGTTACAATCGTGAAAATTTTTATTGGTTCATATGATTTTTATGTAGACACTAAAAAGAGTCACTTGAACTTATGTATACTGGATATGTATTATACAGTGTACATATTGTATTATGCAGATAACCACTAGGAAATAAACATACAAAATTATTTCAAACACACTTCTGATTATTCACACCTTTAAAGAGGTCAGTTCAACTGTGCTCCTTGAAAATGTGAATACAGTAATCACAGAAGCTCATGGGACTGCCAGTACATTATTTGTATTTCTGTTTCTCAATGATTATCTGCAATTATCATTAATCACTGTCATATGTGATGTCTAGTGATAATGAGACCTCCTTGTGTTTTGAGATACATTAATACTCAAAAGCACTATGATCATAGTCAAGCTTGAATATTTAGTTACACTGCACAGGGTTATTATAATTTGCCGATGATGCTGATATAGCTGTTTTCCTTAATATTATTTGGATCATATCTTTTAAAAAACATTTGAGAGGTCTTTTAAATTATGTTTGCAAAATTATCATATGGTTTAAACTTATATGTTTACCATATATATTTGTACACTTTGCAGATTATTGTGATAAAACCACAAATCACATTTTGTGCTTTACACCTGTAATGCAATAGACAGATAAACAGAAAATATTTATTTTGAAATCAGTTTCTTACACAAAATAATTACTTGTCATTTCCCCATATTACAATGTTATAAAGTACTGTACATGTGTTTAAAACACCATTTTTGGAGAGACACAGAAAAAAACACTGAGTGAATATGATCATATTATCCCTTCGAGTCATGCATTACATTAATGTAAAATCCTGGTCAAGACAAAGATGCATCACCATAAGTCACGTTCCCCTTGGTGCTGCTACTTGTGGTTAACCTGCAATAGTTCCTCTGGAGCTTCACTGCTGGTCACTGTATTCTGTTGGTAAATAGTATTATTAATTTGGAGTATTGAATTTTTATTACTGATATGAAATATTAAATTCCAGTAATAAGAATTGCTTGTAATCTACTGTACTTTAAAGTCCTACATTAATAATGGTTATGCTTAAAACTGGATCAGTTTAAGAGACTACTGTACATTGTTTTCTTATGTTTGAGAGCTGAGCCAGGAAGGGCCTTTGGCATTGCAGTCTGCAGTTACCTGCTAGTACTGTATAAGATGGGATAAGTTTTGGAAGGTGTTAAAGCAAGGGTTGCTCTGCTGGGGAACAAGTCAAACCAATACAGTAAATCCCTAATAACCCATCCTGAGACACACCTATATTTTTCTCCCATCTTCACAATCCAAGACCCAAAAAGACTGAAACAAAAGCATCAACCCACATATCATTTTTGCTCCTTAGTCCTATTATTTCAGTACCTCAATTGTACAGTACATTACTAGTTAATAATTCAAAAGTGAATCAATTCTCACACACAATTCTATGCATATACTGGACTGTATAATAACAATATATTGTACACCAGCTTATGACTAATATTTGACAACTAGTACCTGTATAAGATGCTGTTCATTTTTGTTCACAAACCCTGTACAGTGGTTCCTCAGTTAACGAACACAATTTGTTCCAGAAGGTCGTTCGTTAACCGAATCAAGGAAGTGGGGATGGAGGAGAAATCACCTTTCAGGGGACCCATGCTTGATGCCGTCATTTCACCAATAAAATTTTATGTTCACTAGGTGTAATTCAAGATTATTTTATTTAAATCAACACTGCACTGCATTATATATTATCAATATGTTAACTAAATTTCAGAAAGACCAATAATTTCAATGTAAAAATGCAAAAATATTCAAGACGCCAACAAAATAGATAATTCACTCCACTGTCAACAAAGCCAGACTGATGCCTGGTGGCTGAGTCAAGCTACTGATGGGCGCACAAAAAACTAGTTCCCTGTACTGCATATATTATCAATGTGTTAACTAAATTTTAAAATGACTAAAAAATTTAATATAAAAAATGCAAAAATATTAAAGAGCACAACTTTCTTGATATTTTCTCAACTGGAAACGAATGTAAACATAGAACAGATTACTGAATTGGCAGACTAGCCCATCAGCTGAGGCTCACAACAAAATGTTTTGTTCGTAAGGATTTCGTTAATCGAAGTTTTGTTCGTTAACCGAATTGAAGATCCTTGAGAGGTAATTCGTTAACCGAAATTTAGTTAATCGAACCATTCGTTAACTGAGGGACCACTGTACAGTATACAGGTAGTATAGGAAGCTGTTTCTGTTCTCATGCCTCTCACCAATCTATCATGTGGGGACTGTACTAATAAAAAATATTTACATTATATATTTTTATGTCTCAACATGGCCATGATTTTAATACTCTCAGAGAGCACTACTCAGTTGAGTGTCCATACCGGGAGCTGGCTGATGCTTGCCCCACTAGGGGTTACAGCTCAAGGTTGAAGAAGACACAAGGCTAGAAAATTGTGAGTGCAAACTTTTTTGGAGTGAGAATTGTAAACTCTTGGAAATGCATTAATAGAGACTGAATGCGAAACCGGCCTGGGTGTGTATGTTGACAATGAACTGAAGTTCTCGAGCCATTGTGAGAAGAAGGTGAATCGAGCAACTAAACTAGTGCAGATCTCCAAGAGTGAGGTAGTACTTCTCCGCCTGTAGTACAGTTCTGTCAACCTGTCTTCTGCCTGCACTCTGGCACCTCACTTAGCTAGAGAGATTAGAATGCCTGCAACTGCCTAGCTTATACTGCAGATGAGCAAGGGTTAACCTAATTGAGGTGTATAAACATCTCAAAGGGCACTATTCAGTTGAGTGTCCATACCTGGAGCTGGTGGATGCCCACCCCACAAGGGGTCACAGCTCAAGGTTGAAGAAGCCACAAGTCCAGAAAACTTTTTCGAGTGAGAGTTGTGAACTTTTGGAAAAAACTGCCGGAGAGTGTTGTGGTGTCACTGAGTGTGAGCTCTTTCAAGACCAGACTTGGCCAAGACTGGAACAGGTTCAGATACATTCAGGAGCCAGTACAGGGTACTTGCCAACAATGCATAACAGACTTGACTGACTGCCCAAGTGGCTAAGAAACCGATCAGTGGCAAAGAGGATAAAAGTAAATAAACAATTCTATTAGTGTTATTACCTGACATCTCCGTAGAGATCGGACGTACAAGAACAGATGGTACTCAGGGAAGGTCTTCTCAGGTACCCAGGAGAAGGGCGAGTCATGGGTCACAGCAATAGCGAGAATCAGCAATGTTGCCACATTAAATGGATATGACAACACTGGAACTGTCATCTAAAAACCAAAAAGAACTTTTCTTATTTATTTACTTAAAATCACAGTAGAAATACATTAGGAGAGAGAGAGGGGTATTTTATTATGGAATAAAATTTCTAAAACATGGCAATTACTGTAATAAACAAAATAGTTTACAGGAAAGTATTTGACAATGTTTACCGAGAATCGTTCAATTCTCAATCATCATGAGACTAGTCTACAATTAGCCCTGACCTTTCTATGGTCTCTGAAAGTTACCCAAGATGGCCAATTGATTGAAAATTTTCAAAGAAATGCTACCAGTCTGGTATCAACACTCCTATACCTTACAGTACATAACAAGAGAAAATTAAATGTTCTCATTTGCCCTGTCTATACTACAAAAAAGTAAGAAATTATTCAAAGAAGTTTATAAACACTTCAAACGGCATTACTCAATCAAATGTACTGTACATTCCACTAGAGGACACGGCCTAGAGTTAAAGCTATCAGCACAAAAAACTGTCAGAGCCAATGCTTTTGGAGTAAAATTTCAGAATTTTGAATAATCTACCAGTGAATGTTGTGATATCACCAAGTATGAGCTCATTTAAGAATTAAATTACTGTACTTTCAAGTAATACGTTGATCTATAGTTCAGTCTCCGATCCACACTAGGGCACTCCCCCAAATCGTGTACCCTTCCAATTTAATCCTCAGTCTTCCATGGGATACGCTGTCGAAAGCCTTGGCAAAATCTAGGTATTTATTGTCAATATTTCCGCCTTGTTCTAGAATTTGAGTTCAAACATCTAGTACCTTGAGTGTTAAGCATGAGCCTCCCGGCATACTACTAGTACTCTGCTGTCACTCGGAATCAAGTATGACGATCATCCAGCTATGATAAAATGAAATGAGTTATTAACGATGTCACTTCCATTGGTGAGTTCTGAAGTGACTAGAGAGGCCTATACGGGACCGGCAGAGTCGTTCACTTATGTTGCATATGTGGAGGGCTACACCCACTGCGGGAGGGTCGGCAACAGCGTCTTTCCGGCATTGGCACTTGTCTGCCTCGGTTTGCAGTCGGGCTAGTTCAAAAGTATTATCACATTCTTGTGTGGTGCTCCTCCAAGCGATACGGTGTGGAGTAATGGTCTCCCAGATGAGGGGGAGTCGATCTAACACTTTTTCAGGTTTATCTTAAGACAATCCTTATACCCTTTCAGTTGCCCGCCAGCGTTACAGTTACAATTCGTTAGGTGACTGTAAAGTAGCTGCTTTGGCAGTCTACTGTCGTCCATATGGGTAACATGACCAGTCCAGCGTAGTTTTGTTCATTGATAATAGTAGCCTCGATGCTCCTACAGTTGGTGTCAGCGACAATACTGGTATTTGTTCTCTTGTCTTCCCAGCGAACTCGGGGGATGGAAGTTAAACGTAGATTACGTTGGTGAAAGTTTTAAAGTGCCTTGAGGTGCCTCCTGTATGTGACCCATATCTCGCTGCCATGTAGCAGGGTGGGGAGGACTACTGCTCGATATACATGCAACTTTGTAGATAATTTCAGCTCCCTACAGCTGAAGACATGGGTATGGAGTCTGCCAAAGCCTCGAGATGCACATCTGATCCGATGTTGATCAGGTGGGAGCCGAGATACCGAAAGTGGGTAACATTAGAGAGCGTAGTACCGCTAGGCTGGATGGACGGTGGAGGTGTGGCTGAACCAGGGGCAGGCTGAAAGAGAATCTGAATCTTGCGTACATTCACCTCACGGCCGAAGTGTGCATAAGCATCTGCGTAGGTGTTCAGGATCTCCTGTAGGTTGCATTCATTGTGAGCAGCAAGGGTGAGGTCGTCTGCATACTGAAGTTCAGTAATGGAAGCTGCAGACGCCTTTGTTCCTGCCTGCAGTCGTCTTATGTTGAAAAGACCCTTCATCCAGTACTGGATGTCCACCCCTCCGACTAAATTGGCACTGGTATGAGTAAGGAAGAAAGCCAAGAAAATGGAAAAAAGAGTTGGTGCCAGTACACATCCTTGTTTTACCCCTGTTTCAATGGGGAAGATCTCAGACTGGGTGCCATTGTGTAGGACATTGCCGTTCATGCCATCGTGGAGTTGCCTCACAATGGCAATGAATTTTGGTGGGCAGCCAAAACGGCTGAGGGTTCGCTACGGGGCTTCCCTGTTGACTGAGTCGAAGGCTTTTGTTAGGTAGATGAAGGCCACGTACAGGTCACGACGCTGTTTTCTGCACTTTTCCTGTATCTGGCGGGCAACAAAGATCATGTCAATGGTGTCACGTAATGGTTTAAAGCCAATTTGAGATTCTGGGAGAACGTTTTCTGACTCAGGAAGAACTCTGTTTAGGAGGACTCGGGCGATAATCTTGCCAGCTAATGACAGCAGCGAGATCCTGCGGTAGTTGCCACAGTCTGACCGGTCTCCCTTGTTCTTATAAATGTTGACGATGGAGGCATCTTTAAGAACTTGGGGGATATCCTCCATTTCCCATATATTCTCCAGGGGAGGGTGTAGTTGGCTGGTAAGCAGAGGTCCTCCTGCTTTATACACCTCGGCTGGGATTCCATCAGGCCCTGAAGCTTTGTTATTTTTCATATGTTTGATGGCAGTAGCTACCTCATCCAGGGATGGAGGATAGTTGAGGTGGGTCAACTCTGGATGCTGGCGGATCTGTTGGGTAGTCAGGACATCCACATCGGTGTTTTGATTGAGCAGCGAATGATGGTGCTCTTTCCAGCGCTGAAGGATGCCTTCTTTGTCTTTAATTAGGGCGTTACCATCGGATGAGCGGAGGGGGTTGCTCCAAGAGTGATTGGCCCATAAAATGTTTTAGTGGAATTGAAAAATTCACGCATCTTGTGTTGATCGGCAAGTTTTTGAGCTTCACATGCTTTATTTTTAAACCAGTCGTTCTTTAGATTGTGAATTTCGGGCTATGCCGCTGCTTTTTTTTTGCAGAAGGTATCAGCTTTGGTTCGAGACTGTGGGTTGTTCTGCCAGTCAGTTAAAGCAGCACGTTTGTCATTGATGAGTACATTGATTTCCGGGTCATTTTCATCAAACTTCCCGGCAGAAAACCGTGTTGGCAGTCCTTTATGTCTCTCCTCAAACGCAGGATTCCACTCTATCTCTACCATCCAACACACTCCACTCTACCATCCAACACACTCCACTCTACCATCCAACACACCCCACTCTACCATCCAACACACTCCACTCTACCATCCAACACACTCCACTCTATCACCCAACACACTCCACTCTACCATTCCACACACTCCACTCTACCACCCAACACACTCTAAGATGAATAGGAAAAATTTATACTACAAGTTTTAGTTACATTTATCTATAATTTAAAGTAGATTATAAACCCCTTTGGAAACGATGGTTCAACCCTTCACCCTCACGGTTAAGAAAGGGCGGGAGTTCCAAAAATGAGGGTTCAAGTTCTGTGCTCTTACTGGGAGTAATACAAGTGCTCAGAGTGTTGAATATTTTTGTGGTTCAAGGTGAACAAATCTAGTCTTATCAAGTTATTACTGTATATTGACAACAGTACCTCTCCAGTTGTCTGCGGTATCTCACAAGGCTATACGGGGTATGCCACGGAAGGGCTGGAAGGGTTAGTTCATTGATAGTAACTTGCACTCACGGAAGAAAGTTCTGTCAGTCCTCCGACCTTGAGACTCATGAACCTGTGAATCCCAGGTAAATCATACATTGTTAGGCCCGTGGATGGCGCACTAGGTCGTGTGATGTCCCGGATTCACAGGTTCATGAGTCTCAGGGTTCATGAATGAGACGGAGGACTGATAGAACTTTTTTCTGTGACTGTACATTACAGTGCGACTCGGGGCAGCAGATTGTTACTTACCGCACTGAAAATATGTAGCGTGGCAGCCTGCACAGTGGCGGCTATGGTGGCGCCAACCGCGGCAGCTAGCACCACTCCTGGCGTGGGCACGACGAAGTACGAGACGGCTCCCGCCGTCAGCATGCTGTTGTAACCCCACAGTCCAATGTACACGTCAGTGTATGGTGCCGCACTGACCAGCGCTCCTAGTGTGGAGGGCACAGGTAATAGTCACTGTTCAGGTATATGCCCAGTACAGTACTGTACTGGCTAATAGTGTGTAACGGAGAACTGACAAACCACCCGACCGGCTAGTAAGCTGACAAGTGGTGAAGAGGATAAAATCATTATTGAATGATTGAATATAATCCCTTTTGCGCCTGGCAGTCTTCAGTTATCTTTACAAAAAAATTCAATGTTTTCAACTCAGACATTTAGGTAGAGAATAATACATTAAAAATACATCATATGGATATCTCGAGTACTGGGCATAAACTGGCTCCTGAATATATCGGAACCAGCTCCAGTGTTGGTCGGTCAAGTCTGGCCTTGAAAGAGCTCACACTCGGTGCCGTCACAACACTCTGGCAGATTGTTCCAAGAGTTCGCAAGTCTCACTCCGAAACATTGTATTCATTTCCAAACACACCGAACCCAAGTGAGCAGATAGTTTTTTTTTGTGTGTGTGTGTGTACCTGTGGTAATATCAATGAATTTCTTAATTAAAATTTACATACCTATGATAGTGCCAATAACACTGCCCATGTAGAAGAATATTGTGAGTACCGGAGAGAACAGTAGGAAGGCAAGGTAGATGAGGATGGAGGGGTCTATGGTTCCAACACCATAGATCTGCCCTGCTGCCAATAATGTTCCTTCCATTACCTTCAGTGAACAGAAAAAATTACTTCTTTATTTTGGTTGTTCTTAAAGTTGGAAAAAAGTTAGATAGTTGGATGTCAGTAATAAAGATCTACCAAAATAATATCCCTCTCAGTGCACTGAGCTGCGCTATGCAATGGACTGGCAACATTTTGGAAAACTTTATGTATACTTAATAAAGTACATAACTGGGTGGCGCAGTTTTAAACACAACTTTCATTACAGCTGAATGTCTCCTGAACCAAGAGACGTGACGTGTTCGTGACGACCAAACATTCTATCAGGCAACTGAGAAATCTATGTCGAGTAATTAAATCACAAATTGATTTTCCAACGGTTACCTCTTGGCAGGCAAACTTCCCTCTATCTTCCAGACGATAAAAACAGATTGTAATGTTGTCAACGAACTTGTGCGTGCAATGAATTGAACGTCATGTGTTAACCAAATGGTGATTCATCCAAAAGTTTTTTTTTTTAAATCGCTTATCTTTAACCTCTACTGACTCATATTTATTTTCCAAAGTATATAGACGGCAGCCTACGAGCTATCGTAGCTTCAAACTTAGCCACAGCGGCAAATATATTTGGCCGTGGCCTCCGCGATTATCGACACCCAGGTGAAATTAGAAAAAAAATATTACAGACGTTTGTCATAAGATTTACATCCTCTTTCGTCTCCTTATTTCACTAAAATGTTTGTGTGCAGTGTTTTCATATTTTTATACCTCAGTTAATTAATATTTTAAGGTGTGTAGAATGATATCAGTCACATTTTGTTTGCGGAAAATACAAAGCGTCTTAATTGTGGCAGGGAGGTATATGTTTATATGTTTCTCAGAAAAAGGACACATCTCTTGGGGAAGAAGCATAGCAGGGCAAACTACACATTGATTCAATATAATGGATGCGCTTACACGTGTCTCACATATGCTGTATCACATCTTCAGCAAAATGAAATATATTTCTGCACATATAACTCTTGTTGTTAACTAAAGATGTTCTTTTCTTCCAGATACTGAGTGTGTACCGAAGTAATACAACTGTACCAACAAGACATGAGGTTATGTTTCGACCTTTAGTGAAGAATTTACCTGCCAGAGATATGGTAAGTTGATAAACATGTTCAAATTTTAGGGAAAGAATTCTTCTGCTAGCCTATACTGCAAAGGCATGAATATCAATGTATTACCTCCCAACTGCTCATCTTATAATACAGTATTCAACACCAGATTCCCCGTTTCAAACTCCACAGGCCTTAGACCCCTTTTTGATAAGATAAATAACTGGTTGATTATAACAAATTCACGTCAACCATTGACTTAAAGTGTTTTACTCCTAAAAATCCCATTTCGGAAGGTATCGTACCATGAATTTACACCCAGGCAGTCATATTCTGCTTACTGTAAGTTTTGGAATTTATTGTATTAATTTAGATGCACAATGGACGGTTGTAGGTGCCCTCGGGAGGTTGGTACCGATATTTGACACCTTATGTAATTACAGCTTCTGCATTCTTTTTATGGGTGGGGGGGGGGAGGGACTTGTCTCAGATTTAAGTATTCAAATGTTCTGTAATGCTTTTTATTAAAAAAATTATCTAGCCTCAGTTTCCCTGTTCCATAGACATGTCTAGTAATGTTTAAACAACTACTTTAGATTAAAGTATAGGGGATATTTATTGTTTTGTATTTGCTGGGTTTTTTTTACTATAAATATTAACAAAACAGAAGCTTATATAGTTTCATAAGAGTATTTCTTCTGATAAGCAAGGGCGTAAGTCTGTTCGAAGAGGAGTAGAAGTGTAATGTACAGTGCAGTACTTAACATTGCAACAGGGAGCTGTGGCCCGCCAGCATTAATGAAAATGGCCTAAATTTACTAGTTATGTCACTTACGCCCGTTCTGGACGAAGGCTTCAAGCCTGTATATTCAGATCTTCATCTTTTTTTGTAAAAACACTAACCGGGACTAAACACAAATAAGATGGAAACAATATCTGACCACGTCTGTATATGGTTCATACCACGCAGCTCAAGTTGTGGAATAGAGAACAGCTCATTGTGATCTGCCCCGGGCTTGTCCATTTGTTTCTCAAAGGTCAATACAAAGACGTGACCACCTGATCGGGTTACCTGTATTATACGTCAACAATAAGCAGTGTACAGTCATTGCTTGGTTTGTAGTCGTAACGTTTATAGTTTGAAAGTGTGACCTTTGGTATTGTTGTAATATGTTGTTTGTCAGTCAGTCAGTCAGGACTGGTTCAACCAAAGGTTCATCATGGAAGACCATATAATTATTAACTCACTTTTGACCAGTCGAGCTCTATGGTAGAGTTGGCACTATTGGTAGTGTTTGTTGGGGTTGGCGGGAGTTGTGTTCCCGTGAGGCCCGCAGCACTACGCATGCTTAACAGGAGTAAGACAGCAGCGAAGTTGAACGGGATGGATAATGCTGGTAATTGACATGGTGCCATAAGAGCATTCAAACCTCTATCCACATAAGCTCTGAAATAATGAGTTTGCATAAATGATGATGTTTTTGTTATTTAGATACTCGGAAAAACTTATTATAATAAGTACAGCAAGGCAACTTTTTAAAGAAACCTTCACACTAGTTCTCAGTGAAGAATGTCATTACATTACTTGGCGATTGTAAACTTAATTTCTGACTCGCTGTGTACAGAATGAATTAAGATAAGTTAGCATTGAAAACTACAGAATCCAAATATATTTATAAAGCTGGGTATCTAGTGCAGGGTACTTTGTGGGATATATATCGCCTCTTTTGTTTATTGAATTTGTTCTCCACATATTGCTGAGCCAGATTTTGGATATACCTAAAGCATTGTTTATAAATTTGATGTAATTTATTTTCTCGCTACTATGTTCGTGTCAAGTGTCCAAAAAATAAGTTGTGGAACTAGACAACATGAGTCGGAATTTATTCAACTCTGGCTGAATGAGTGTGAATGACCAGCTCGAGTTAACATGGCTGCCTGATGGTCTCACGTGATGATGAGAACGATGGTGAGGAAGAGCCAGAAGCTGGCGTCGATGGCGTGGCCAGTTATCCCGGGGAACACGGCCACAGAGATACACCCGACCAGGATCCCGTTGAACACAACCACACCGTCGCTGATTAACTGTTCTGGTTGACTGAGTACCTGATTCGAGATAACGAATTAGATAGCCCTGCATATTACACACTAAAAATAAAGTAAACATCTTTTTGTTGCAGATACTAAATAATAATGACGTCATACGACCTTACGTGGGAGAGAAAAGCTTGGGAGAAAACTACTACTCTCCCTCCCACACATAACATAATATTGTTCCAATTATCGAGGCAGAGTGAGTTAATCCTTCAAGAACACTACAGTTACATGCGCAGTCAAAAGTGCAGATGATCCAACGTACATTGTGTACGTTTGCTGTAATACAACTGACCTTGCTGAAGATAACCCCGATGACCCCGGCTAAGAGACAGGCCCAGGCCACGTTGATGTTACCCACAAACATGGCCCCCAGGATCAACGCGCCTGACACCGGATTGTTAGCGAACGCCACCTGTGGAGGACATGTTAGTTCTCTTTGCCAGGAAGAAAGCTTGTAAGCTCTCGTCTCACCTAAGTTTTACAAAACAGTTGTAACTGAGGGAAATCACAATGAACATGTGTAATAAATCTAAAGATGCTTGAATTATCAAAGTTAAAGGTTCATAAGCGTCCCGGAACTGACATGGTGCATCCCAGAGTACCAACAGAGTTGTGCAACGAGCTTGCTGAGCCCCTGAAGATCCTGTTCTGTAAATGCCTGGATGAGCAAAAGGTCCTCAATGATTGGAAAAAAAACGCTTATGTGAGTACCTATTTTTAAGAAGGGCGATGGTCACTCCACGAGTAATTATAGACCAGTGAGGCTGACCAGCATAGTATGTAAAGCTAGAGAGCATTAAAAGAGATGCCATGATGTAACATCTATTTCGAAACAACCTTGTAAAGGATTGCCAACACGGTCTTATGCCGGGACGCTCCTGCTTAACACAATTACTCAGGTACTGAATGCTTGGACCCAATTTCTGAACAGGGTGGCAATATTGACAATATATACCTAGCGTGGATCGGAGACTTTCTCTATGATCGCAAGCAGTGTGAGGTGATTAAGGGCACAAATTCGCCATGTGTACCCGTGACAAGCGAGGTACCACAGGGCAGTGTATTGGGCTCGCTGTTGTTTGTTTGATTCATTAATGATATACCAGAAGCTGTACATTCCTCCATACAAATGTATACGGACGATGCCAAGTTATTTAGGGAAATTAAGAACCAAGCAGACTGTGAAGAGCTGCAGAAAGATCTCTGAGAGCTTCAAGAATGGTCGAAGAAATGGCTGCAAAGATTCAGTGTCACGAAATGTAAGAGGATGTACCTGGGACGTACCAGCGGTAAGGCGGCATATCATAAGTCCCAACGGGACGAAAAAAATGCATTCCAAGAAACTGAATGTGAAAAGGACCAAGGTGTGTATGTTGACAGTGAATTGAAGTTCTCGTACCATTGCGAGAAGGTGAACCAAGCAACAAAATTATTAGGTCTTATAAGAAGGTCGTTCAGATATCCCTCGTAACGATCTTCGAGAGCGAGGTGCTTCTTCACCTGGAGTACTGTCACCCCGTCTGGTACCCGAGATATGCTAGGGACTGTTAGTTGATTGAAAATGTCCAAAGGAGGGCCACCAGACTGGTGCCAGCACTTCGGCACCTCAACTACCCTGAGAAATTAGAGCGCCTGCATTTGCCTACCTTATTCTACAGACGGGCGAGGGGGGACCTAATTGGGGTATATAAACATCTCAAAGGGCACTACTCAGTCGACTGTCCTTACCTGGATCAGGCGGACGCTCGCCTCACAAGGGGTCACAGCTCAATGTTGCAGAAACCGCAAGTCCAGAAAACTTTGAGGGCAAACTTTTTCGTGGTGAGAGTTGTGAACTCGTGGAACAACCTACCAAAGACCAGACTTGACAAGCACTGGAGCAGATTCAGATACATTGAGGAGCCAGTGCATGCCCAGTACTTGACAACATTGCGTAACAGAGACGTGACCGATCGCCCAAGCGGCTAACGAGCCGATCAGTGGTGAAGGGGATAAAAGTAAAAGTAAGAAGGCAAGCATAAACTCAGCAATTTTCCCTGATGGCCGCTGTAAACGCTTTGGCGCTTCGCCTTGAGCAGGATGCCCCTCACGGGGCAAACCTGAATCTGTAAATCTGAGTCTTGTGGTGGTGTGGCAGGCTGTCTCGCATGGTAACCCAGGTATCCATGACACTCTCCTGCTTCCCTACTCTGATCACGTACGTACTGTATAATGTATCTTCCCCACGACAGTCACACCATCTCCACACAAAGTTGTCCCACTCATCCTAGTACTGTACTGGCATCCCCAGAGCATAGTATAACGTCACTTCATGGCGGGAATGGAAATTTGGAAGATGTATTTGGAAGCAAGTGGAATGTTCTCCCTGTCTTGATGAATAAGAAACAACTGGATCTTTGGATACATAAAGTAAAAATATCTCATTGAATGTAGCAATTAAGTTGTAAACTCATATGTATGGCCGTGGCATTATTTGATACTCACTAATAATCGCGAGAGGACTAGACACAATGTTCATGGTGTTGGTTGAAAACATTACTCTTTGCTACACTTATCATGGCAGGGGTGTGTGGTGTGGTGCCGGCCAGTAGTGACAGCATTTCTACTTAAGATGCAGTGAGTGCCATTTTTGGGACGTGGCTTAAGAGAGCTGGGTTGGTTGAGAGTCCTCATTAGGAAAGATTATATGCTCTCACATGAGAGCAATGTTCCTTTAGGATAACTGAACGGCCCCTCCTGAGTGTCCCACTCCGTTAGTCACACTAGGCAAAGTTAAGGGCCCCCACCTGAGCGCCTTCCACCCCAGTAGGCAAGGTTAACACGTAAGAACTCTACCCTGCCAGGTAAGGATAAGGATCCTTGCCTGAGTGTACCCACCCAGTGCCGGAACGCCGTGAGACCACTGCTAACGTGCTGTATCACGGCCATCTGGCGCCCGGCTCTGGCGGACGGGACGATGGTGCTGACACAAGAGGGCGGTGGCCTCAACCCCAAACTTACCAAATCTCAAGGTCGCCCGTCATCTGTGACAGTGAAAAGAGGTATTTTATATTATCGACCGGCGACCGCTGTTGATGACTTTAAAGGTACGATAAATATTTAGTATACTGTATATGACGTTCTAAATTACAGCTGTAAATGAAACATAAATAACTTTCTATCGTGGCATTTTTAGGTAATTTTTTGCACAAGAAAACTTGACCTTTAAAACAACGCATTTTGTTTGCGGATTTCAACATTATTATTACTAGAAGTATAACATGTAAATCAATATATCAGTGTGTTATCTTACAGTAGTCCAACGATTAATTAATAAATAATAATTCTATCTTTAAGTAGGATTTTTAATTAACGTGGGCCTCCTAAAATCCCGTCTTGAAGAGGGTATTTTAGATAAAGTGTCACTCATTAAGACTGACGTGCCTGAGAACAAATTAATGCCGCCATCATCTCACCGATTTTTAAGAGCAAAAAACTAATATATTAGTCAAATATAGTATACAGTAAGTATCTCAGTTGTCTTACTTTTACTTTTATCCTCTTCGCCGCTCGTTAGCCGTTTGGGCGGTCGGTCACGTCTCTGTTACGCACTGTTGCCAAGTACTGGGCAGGCACTGGCTCCTCAATGTATCTGAACCTGCTCCAGTGCTTGTCAAGCCTGGTTTTGAAAGAGCTCACACTCCTTGCCGTCACAACACTCTCTGGCAGATTGTTCCAAGAGTTCACAGTTCTCTTCCGAAAAAGTTTGCCTTCACAGTTTTCTGGACTTGTGGCTTCTTCAACCTTGAGTTGTGACCCCTTGTGGGGCGGACGGTTACTTACTGGAGGGGACGATAGTAGGGGCTGTGGTGATGGCGAGAATGCAACACCGCCATCAACAAGATGGACTCTCAACGTCAATTTGCCAATATACGGCACGACAGGCACGACCCACCACTTTACCACATGGTACCTGAGTTCTCCACACGGCAATATCGACGACACTGGATCTTGTTACCTTGTTTAAGCTGATAATTATGCGTCGGTTATTTAATGTATGGTAAGGTTACTGTATACGTCTAGAACACATCAGACGGTCACCAGCTGTTTACCGTAGACAGGTATATACATTAGTATTCTTCCTCGTAATGAGACACACCGATCATATCATGCATGGGTCATGGGAAGTTAACTGTAATAAACACTCTTAGGTTAGGAACAAAATGTCCTGTGATAGACTTATAAGATACTTAATCAAGTTTCAAATAAAGTTAGCTTTCTCTATACAGTACTTAATATGGGTAGTAGATCTCGCCCCAGATCCTTTTGTACAAGCTCTGCATCTCTCCGAGTCCGTTTTGGTTCATAACGTCATAAAGTTAGTGCTTCGATTCAACAAATAGAAGCTGTGAAAGAGAACTGTAAATAAACTAAAATTCAGTAAATCTCTTGTATGGCTCTTGAACGATGAGTAGTAACCTATTCTTGATTTCCACAGCCCAGGGGGACACGATCCTTATTCTCCCTGACCCACTTGCTTCTGTGTGTGTCGAGAGAGAGAGTGCACTTCTTCATCTCTAGCACCCACTTACATATATCAAAATAAATTTCTCGTCCTGGCATCTTCCCTTCGCCTCCAAATTCCTAATAACAGGTGCAGGTTTTGATATTCGCGTCCCGTAGCACCACAGAACGAAAGACCAATAGCATAACACAAGCTGTACTGACCTCGTGCCTAGATTTACAATGTATTCAGTATCATTTCTAGCCACACACACACACACACACATTGTAAATTTTTCTCATTACTTTGAAGCACCGTAGATTTCTAAATTGTGCGTCCTAATATTCAACAAGACACCATATGCATGCGTTAAAAAAAAATCATTGAATACGTGATTTACTCCCGAATGCCTTAATAAACTACCTGGCAATAACAATCACATCGTAGCTACTTACCATTCACCTCACGCACTGGGAATCGCACACAACTGGTAGACACACACACACACATACATACATACATATATATATATCTTGAAAAAATACTATTTTCCCGTGTGATTTTATCAAGATTTATCTTATCCACGTTTTCATTGTGGATTTATATATATATATATATATATATATATATATATATATATATATATATATATATATATATATATATATATATATATATATATATATATATATATATATATTTTAATGCTTCCCCCCTCCCTTTCGATATTCCTTGATCCGCCCCTGAGGTAGGTGTAGCGAAGTAGAACCTACATGGGATGAGTATCAGGTAAAAATACCGAGGATGAATGAGGCTTATAAAACAAGATGAAGCTCAAGACAAATTATAAATCTAAGGTCGTGGAAGCGACGCGCCTCATCATTAAGTACCTGTGTCCTTCCATTCTCCCTTCTAATATCCGCTAAGCTCTTACTTCTCTCTCTCTCTAATTGTTGTTACACTTCCAAAAAATAACTTTTTTTTATGAACAACAACTCAGTCATCAACGATGTTTCTTTCGGGAGCCTCACGTTACCTAACTATAAAAATATACATTATATGATATTTATTCAAACTACATAACCACGACGGTATTTACAATACGTAACACAATATGGGCGTCCTTTTAATTCTCATAATCAAATACAGTTTACTGCTGTCGGTGTATATAAAAGAAACAAGAGTGGTGGTTAGTACAGTACTCACTACCACCTGCTGTTCAGAAGTTACCAGAGGGCAGCATTTGCTAAGGTGTGGCAGATCCGGGAGTTTCCAAGCAGGGTAGCGGAGGAGTGTGTGCGTCTAACACGTACACTGGATGTGATCATCCCACAAGAATTTATCTCACAACAAGTAGTCTCTATCCTTTAGTAACGAGCCGATACATACTGTATATTGTATGGAGTATCGGTGAAATCGCTAGAAAAGCTCACCGAGGTTCAGCTTCTACGTGACAGACTGTTCAAGTATACAAAGTTGATTAAACTAAGAATGGCCTAAAAATCGTTAAAGGTTAATTTCCATTCGGGCTTTGAAAAACTTTGTAAGTTTAATTGTCATTTACATCTAGAAAGACGGTGAATGTTAATAATCTCCAATGGTGGAATAAACAATAGGGTCATCGCCATCAGGCGAAACTCGTCGGTACTACTGTACTAAGATGTTCAGTACTTACAACACCAATGGCTCGCAGGATGGAGTTGGCAGTCTTGGAGATACACCAGGGGGACAACCAAGGCTTGGCCAGCAGGAACTTGGTGATGGCGCTCATGTCTCCCACCCACGTTAGCCACACTGGCGGCTGTAGAAACAGTAACTTGCCATTTTCACTTAATATATGGAAGAGGTTTTTATTTAATTTTGTGACATGTGGAAAAAGGGTACAGATGATATTTTGGGAGATATTAAAGGAGAAGAAAATGACATTTTGTGCTTCACAAGTGGAAGGGGGTTTTATTTGAATTTATAAACAGGAAAGTGTGAACATCATAACCAACTGGTCGAAGCTATAGGATGCAGCACTATACCTTTTCCGTGCGACGATTGTTCATGTCTCACAGTGACGGGAGTTTGTCGTCCTCCAGTGTCAGGAAGTAGACTTTCCTTCTTCTGCTGCGACTGTTGTTGTCGTTGTCACGGCAGTCTTTAATGTTTTTAGTGTTAGTACAGTTTATGTTAATTTTCGTGCTAGTGCTCTGACACTCATGCGGTTACCCCCTCCTTTTTTTTTTACTGTGTTGGTATTGTTGAACTGTTTTGTCATTTATATTGTTTGATACGTAACTCCCTGTGGCTGAGGTTCGTGGATACAGCCCTCTGCCTTAGGATATCTGTATAGGAGTAAATTCTTAAGCTGGGATGTGTTTACTGCTGGTTTGTGGTACAGTGCAGTAGTTCTTTCTGTTAATTTAGCTCCTGCCTCGCTATTTTTGTACTTGCCCGGGAATAATAATCAAATTAGAAATAAAACAAAAATACATTTGACAACAATTTGTTAAGTTTCAGGATTTTGTAAAACCCTCCAAAATATAAGATCGACATTAACACTTAAGAATTGGTTTGATAAATTTTATTGGGTTAGATTAATCTTTATGAATTTCACCTGGGCAAGCGCTCACTTTAAGACCCCATAATTATCCACTAATTAGCTCAGAATGTGTATCTGAAATAAAAATTTAGCTAATTGTATCAAGTGGTGCTGTTAAAAATTCCTGTGACAACACTGAAACTGTAAATATTCAACATGATAATAGAAATACAAACAGGTAGCGAATTGAAGTCATGCGGAGACTTTCACTGCGACACTGGTACATAAAAGAACGATATAACAAATTTTCCGCTGAGAGAGACAGAGGCTATGAAGACTTGCTTGGCCCTATATGTAGCTATAGCTGATAAGAAAATAACATGGCCGTTCGAGATTATAATGTTTCACGTTAAAGCGCTCGGGAGAAAGGTTCTAAAATAAATATTTGGGGGGTTCTGCTTGTTACAGAACTCAGAGAATCTCTTTTTAGGACTTCCAAAGAAATCTAGAATGGGTGGGTTTGACTTGACGCGGACTTTAGGTCTTCTAGTTGTAGGAGGATCTGAATTAACACGGCGGGTAGTGATTATTACCCAAGTCACGTATCTCCATTGTCCATAAGGCGTACATGACGGTGCGAAGCTTAATGAAGCCTCGTTATAAACAGCCATGCAGGAGGTTGTCATTCTCCACAAGTCTGAATAACACTCTGCTAACCCTTGTGATGTTACCTGTATTCACTATAGTAAATGTTTGCAGCATATTTTGATTTTACAACGGAAGATCTGCCTGTGATACTGAACAATACGAACAGTCACTAAGCTCACCTCATTCCATGTTTGTCAGTAGAATCCTTAGGAAATTATCTCAATTTTTAGATGTTATGACGCAGCAAGTTTTCAAGTACTGTATTATAAGAAGAATGATAACATTCTCCTAGTGTTGTGGGTTTAGGGGAAGCCAAAGTTTTCATATTACGTATTGTGAGTTTAGAACACAGCAGTGGAAAGTAAATGAAGATAAGCTATCTCTCCAGTTCTGCAACGAAACTATATGGAAAATACGGTGAATAGTATAATACAAGCCAATTATAACATATTTATTTAATTATCATTTATTAATTCCTTAATAACATGTTGAAAACGACTAATCTATATTGTACTAAGAACACAGAGTATACTATACTATACCTCATGTTGTATAGTGAAAAGATTACTTTGTAAAAAAAAAAGAAGATATTTCTCTCTAGTGAACACTTTTTGTCCAAACATTTAATTTGAATATTGCTCAGAGCTGAGCTTTATAATCTACGAAAACAAAAAGGTTGTATATTTTTTTCTGCATTTGTTACTGCTGAAACGTATTTACTGCCTGACCGACTCATTGAAATAATTTTCATTCCCCGTTCCTACCTCTCACTAACGCAGCTTATGTCCAGTTCATGGTTATTAATATTTTGCCAACCACACCTCACAGCCCTGTCCAACCCACCACACCTCACAAACCTGTCTCACCCACCACACCTCACACCCTGTCTAACTCAACACACCTCACAACCCTGCCTCACCCACCACACATCACAACCCTGCCTCCCCACCCACACTCACACACCTCACACCCTGCCTCACCCACCACACCTCACACCCTGCCTCACCCACCACACCTCACAACCCTGCCCCCCTAATAGTAGGTTGAATGATTTATGAAATTTGACGAGTGAGTTTACCCTTTGCTTTGAAAAGTCCGGATGTTTGGAAATATTTGGGAATGTTCCCTGATCGTACCAAGCCTTTCCCCAACTCATCTGGTTAGAGACAACACTGGGACATCCCGTTACATCTCTGAGAAAACCAAACCGGTCATGCCTGCAGGTTGTATTTTTCCACATGTGCATCGTACTGACTTTTTTGTACATCAGTGAATAATTTCTACTAAAATAACTTCACACAAGTTATTTGGCTGTCGGACATATAAAAATAAAACTAGTTGCGTATTTATTTATTTATGTGTGTGTGTGGAGGTGAATCGGCGAGCCATGAGCCCACAGTTGTTTCATCCTCCAGGGCGACTTTACTACCCACGCGTGAACCACAGACCCATGACTTACGTAATAGCGGGAAGACGGGGAGTTCCTCGAAATGAATATAATCTAATCTTGACCATTCGTAAATCGTGCCTGCATACATCAAACTACCTGCATCTCCTCCTTGGGAGACAATATACTGTGTTACTGCTCGTGTATGTATATTAAAATCAACAGAAGCTTATAAGTACTGCATCATTGTATTTATCAAGATTTATGTCACTTACAATAGGCTGTTAATTCTCTTTGGTCGAACGTTTTACAAGATCATCGATACATGATTCTTACCCTAGGAACAATGAGTTTTAACACATTACTTTAATATTTTCATACATGTGTCTAGTTAAGCAAAAAATACAACAAATTTGTCATCTTTCCTCACTATGTAAACAATCATGCCGAGAGTTATAAATGTAACTCTGTATATAATGTGTAAATGTATGCGTGGGTAAAATAGAAACAGATATGTCTCATTGATATGTCCATCACTAATCGGGTTAAATTAGATTACGTTTGAGACATTGGAGTTCTAAATTGTACAGTACTTGAGTTTTTATGTGCATATCAGTTTGCATATCACAGTACATACATTATATGTATTGGGCTATATATCCTTTTACGAACCAACTTCGTAACTCAGCTGCTATAAGTTGAAATCTGGTTACTCATTTACCATATTACTTCATCGCATTTCCTTAAGTGTTTAAACTAACGTCCCCGATAGATAAGATACTACGTGTCAGTGTAGCTAGAGTGATGTGTTGACATTGTACTTTAAATACCTCATACTGACTGATAATAGGTAATGCTCTCTCTTTATATTTTAGTTAGTATAGCCTGGGTGTTCTCTCATCGCATCACTCATTTTGGAAAAAAAAAACACTTTCATTTCACCACCACTTCTCCATCTGCTCGGTTTTCCTGCACACGACAGCCACGTCACTCATATTCACGACACCTTACACCACCACCACCTTCGTGTATCAACACCTAAATATCACAACTCCGAATTGTAAGCAGTGGCTCGAAATAACAACAAATGAGGGATGACGTCGCACCTCCATTAGCTGTGGTGTGCACCGAACTGTAGACGAGGCGAGACTGACCTGGTCCCTTTGTGAGGTGGGGTAGTGTGAGACTCCTGGAAAGCTCTGCTCACTTATATCTCCTGCGGTGCGACTCTACGCTCCCCTGACTCATCCGTACTGACCATTTATTGATATAACAATTATAATAATGAAGTTTTAAACCTCTGTTGATGAATAAAACTAGTCTATTATCAGCCCATCCTTACTGTAGGTAGTAGGCAGCTGCCAAACGGGGAGGTACTACCGCCTGGGAAGATATTGGAAGCATAATGTGTTGTCTAATGGTAGACCCTGCTGCCATATGACCAGTTATCTGGCTCAAAATATCTCTACCAACTATAACTACTTTTCTTTGTTTCCTATACTGTTCTTCAAACTCTTTCAACTATTTAAAACTCCTTGACTATCTCACTTCTTGCCATGAGTCGTTGCTATCCACACACCCTAACACCGAGATCCTCTACCTAGGGGATTTCAATGTACATCAAAGAGAGTGGCTTGGCTTTGCAAAGGATGACCCAGGTGGAACTAAGGCACTCTCTTTTTCCTTAATTAATGATCTGGAGCAAATAATTAAACACCCTTCACGCGTTCCTGATCGACACGATCAACTTATTAACATTCTTGATCTTTGTTTTACCTCTAACCCCCCACACTATTCATACTCAATTTCTGCCCCCTTAAGGTCTTCTGATCACATTCTAATTCTATTAAATCAAACCGGGCACGACCACTTCCCCCACCCCCCTCTAAACGCCAACTATGGCACTATCGGAGGGCAAACTGGCAATCCTTGCGAGAATTCTTCTCCGACTTTCCTTGAGATAAATGCTGCTTTTCCACTCGGGATGCCTCGGTATGTGCTGACAGCATTGCTGGGGTTAAACAGGGTGGTATGGGTGCATTTATCCCATCATCTACCAAAACTTAAAATTTACAATCATGGTTTGATCTCTCCTGTTCTCTTGCATGTAGGGAGAGAGATAGGGCATATCGAGTTATGAAACTATCTCCTTCTCTTATTACCCACCCCTCTTTCATTACTTCTAGGAATCGTTGTAAGGTTTTTCTTAGTAGGGCCAAACGGAATTTTACAAAAAGAAAGATCGCTGTCCTGACTAACTCTTCTTCAAGTAAATACTTCTGGTCCTTAACCAAAAACATCTGTAATAACTTTTGTACTCCCTCTTAATGGCTCTTATCCTCCTCTCTTCCGACCTGGTAACTCTATAGCCATCTCTCCCCCTGATAAAGCCAATCTCTTTGGCACCTTACAGTATTCTCTAACTCCACCTTAGAGGATTCCAACTCTATCCCTCTTACCCCTGCTCCTACTACTGAACCTATGCACTTTCCTGTAATCTCCACTTGTAGGGTTGCTGATGTGTTACCCAGGTTGGATGTGAGTAAGGCGCATGGACCGGACATAAGACCCCCTCGTGTTCTCAGGGAGTGTGCTGAAGTTCTGGCCCCTGTGCTTGCTCGCCTCTTTCGCCATTGCTTCAAAACCCAAACTTATCTTTCTTCTTGGAAGCATGCCTTGGTTCAGCCCATCAAGAAGAAGAGTGACCATTCCAATCCCACTAACTATCGCCCCATTGCCCTAACTTCACCCTTCTCTAAGATTTTCGAAACTATCCTGAACTCTCATTTTCTCTGTCACCTTGAACGCCATTCTCTTTTGTCGGATCACCAGTATGGCTTTCGCCAGGTGAGATCTACTGGTGATCTGCTCTCCTACTGCACCCATGTTTGGTCATCCTCTCTTAGGAATTATGGGGACATCTCCAAAGCATTTGACAGGGTATATATATATATATATATATATATATATATATATATATATATATATATATATATATATATATATATATATATATATATATATATATATATATATATATATATATATATATATATATATATGTTTTTTTTTGTATAATCCGACTTGAAATAAGCATATGATGGTTTTGTCGGCTATCCTTAATCAAATTGCCTTACTGCTTATTATTGCTGTATACCTGTACTGTCTAGGTACATTGGAAACTATACCTCCAAGGTCTACTGTATGTATACCATATACCTGCATTAATTAATGTTTGTGCACTTGTTGAAATGTATTCTTGCATAATGATGTACTCGTAAAAATACGCCAAGACAATTGTAACTTGTATGATGATATTACTGAATAAATTTTATTATTATTGTTTTACTGTTGTTTTTATTTTATTGTTATTGGATTTAGTGTTATTGTTGTTGTTGTACTACGACTCTTAGACCTGGTGTAGTGGTCTCAAACCTCTGAACTCATCCGGATACGTCGCGAACACCTTCCTGGCCTGGTCCTGTGGTCTGACTACCACTGCCAGACAGTGTTTACATTCCAAGGACAAGTCACTGCAAACACATTCTGCTTGGGGATGTGAGCATTGATCATGATGTATGTTTGTGTGGCCATGATCCTGCTCCAGTCTCAGCGTGTTATTTATTTTGGCCCCAAACATTATTATCTAACCCATTGTCGAATGGAGTGGCTGATTTAGAGTTAGTTGTTACTGTTGTTGGCATGATGTTCCAGTTGTTAACCTCGCTATTACAGAACGTATACAAGTACCTTTTCCTTATGTTTAATTTTGATATATTTTTAAGAATTTTTCTCATTTTCTCTTGTCGTTGAGTTGGCTATTACTTGAAGCATATTTCCACATGATGTGTCATATATATTACTCATAATATTGAACCACAGTCATATATTACCTGGACCTTCTGTATGTCAGTGTAGGGAGTAACAACTTTTACGCCCTTTCTACATGTGTCAGACCTTTTAGTGTTGGCATCAGCCTGGTAGCTCATCAGTGGACATTCTCTCCTGCTTCTACACCTTTTATTCAATATGGTGACAATATTTGATATATATATATATATTCTGTAGTGTATGCAACTGGACCAGAGATGACCTCTATACTATTCTATTACTTTTCAGATTCGCTAGCCCGAAGGTTCCCTTGTGTATGTCCAAAGTCGAGTCATGGGCTCGGCAATCCCCATGAAAAAGGAGTGATTATGAAGTCATTAGGAGTGACACTCAAGTGTCTTTTATGTGTAAAGCAAGTCTCTTAACTGATCTGTTGTGCCACAGCTTTAGCTAAAGGTGAATTGGTTAATTTCCTGTTTTTTTTTTTTAGATAAAGTACCAGTACAGCTGCATTCTCTACTATGGCAATTCATTGTTCATAAAATGAAGAAAACTAACCTACCAAATTTAACCTAACCTAACCAATAATACTACAGATAATTTTTACAAACTGCTACATTTTATAATTTATTATTCATAAAATGAAGAAAACTAGCCTGCCAAACTTGACCTGAACTAACCAAAAATACTAGATATTTTCTTATTTTATTATTAAAATAAATAAAATTCTATTCTATGTAAAGAACCATTTTTACTGTCTAAACAGTGCTTTTGACACGATTTGGCTGTCTTCCTCTGTTGATTTGGGATGTAAAAAGTAATGTTAGACAAAACGCCTTCCTCATGCACTTTTTGTCATTTTCTCGGGGTAAGAAATTGACCCAGACCTAAATCTGGCTCTCAGTTTGATTTTGCTGGAGAGCTATTGTACAGTCTCGTTCAAGATTCTTCGAAAACTGCTGGAGACAGCTGGCAACTCAAGGCCGTTTGTTTACTAGAGTACGTAGTATAATACAGTATAATACGAAACAACAAAGCCCAACCATTAAATTACCGTAAGCAACGGGGAACTAAGTAACCAATCACCGATCACTTTTACATTTATTCATAATTTTTACTACATACTATTGTAAACAAACGGCCTTGAGTTGCCAGCTGTCTCCAGCAGTGTTCGAAGAATCTTGAATGAGACTGTACATACAGTAATACTGTAAATGGCCTATTCACACAAGAATAATTTACTCACATTACACATGCATCAGTACTTTCATGTGTAGCCTGTGATATAACCTAAGATTAGAAAGTTATCTTAGATTTGATTAAGTTTGGTCTTTGTGGTTCATATTTGCTGTCATAAAGGTTTTCTAAAAAGAAGGAATAGTAAGCTGGACTTAAATTGGTAGTAACAGCCTTTATATATAGAACTCCACTCCGGCTGTCTCAAGGGAATACTCTTGTGTTCTTGTACAATTTAACCAGCAATTTTAAAGATTTTTGTGTCGTCATTAATACAGTACAGTAATTCTTTTTTACCCTGTGGATTATCTTCCTTAAACTCTGGACTTACAGTATTTTAAAAGAGGCAAAACAAATGAACTAAACCTAAACCAATCTAACTGTACCTTCCTTAGCTGAAGATATTTTAAGATGGTTAGATTACTTTTAGATGGTTTGTGTCTTCTTTCAGAGATAGTTTTTTGCCGTAGTCTGATAGTCACCATTAAGCACTCACTCACTGTTCCTCTTTGTATGGGAACTTGACACATGACTCTTAAATAAACTTCCAATATGTTCTACTAAACACCCTAAACTGGACTCTTATCTGACCACCTCAAAATATATGAAATCTTAACAGTTTATGAAAAAATCTATTAATAAACATGCACTAGAACACAATGGAGTATTTCTGATGTCTGTAAGTCAAGTCCCACAGTTATATTTGTCTTATCATTATGCAAACTTTATAAAAGGAGTGAAGGGATAAGATACAGGGAGTAGAAATAAGAGTAGACAGTAATGTTAATGATCATAAGGAATGCACATTACATTTTTACCCTCAGCTTGCACAAAACACTAGGGATTAATAATTATTTGTATCTAGTGAAGTAAAATTGGTTAAATTAAAGCAGATTTATAACTTGAAACTCATTTTTTTCAGAATTGAGGTGTATAATGGCCTCATCTACAAAACATTCTTCAGATCATGAAGAAGTCATCCTACAAGGGCTGTTGGCTCACTTCTCCAACTTTAATTATGATAAAGCTAAAGAGCATGCTGTAGGTACCAGTGCTCTCTTAATTACAAAATGCAATGAATAGTTGATCCTGAGACCCTGTTGTGTGGTCATAGGGGAGCAGATGACTTTATTTTCTTGCCTCTTTCTTGTGGTGAGGAAAACAGCAGCTAAATGTGGATAAACATGGGGTTCATATGATCAAAGTTCAAGATGGCAAAATAATATGGTTGTAGCTCCATAGATGACTTAGCTTGGCCAGATATGACTGCATATTCTAAAAAATTTTAGCTCTGAACCTGACAGACCTCTAGTTATGTACAGTAGCTAAAACAACTATCTGTGCATACTTTGTGGGAAACAATATGAGGCCATGGACGATAAAGCTTGGTATATGAGGGCTGTCACTAGTCACGTAAAATTTTGGAGCATATCGACCCCCACCTGCACAGATAGTTGTCTTAGCTTCTGTACAATTCAAACAAATGTCTCTGTAGAGATTTTGAAAAGGAGGCAGAATAATAAGTAATTACAGATATATGAACTTTTTTTTCTTGTATTGGTTGGGGATTTGGAGAAGATAAACAGTAGAATATACAGTATATTAATGGTTTAAGTAAAATTGATATTAAAGAAGATGAGAGTTTTATGAAATAATTTTTTTTTTTATATTGTAAAAAAAAAAGTAATGATTTTAATTGAGCCATGGAGTAGAAACCATATTTCTAGATGAATAAATTTGCAAGGGACATTGGAACTAAATGTATATACAAGTACCGTATACTGTACAGTATTTGTAATCCATGCAGGAAAAGGAGCGTGATACAAGTCGATTTAGTGGATCAACTGTGTGGCAGTCACTGCTCACCTGTGTAACCCAGCTAGCTGCTACAGAGAAACTGTACATGAATCTTTCCTTCCTTACGGCAAAAGGGTTTCTAAGGAAAGAGGTAAGAGGTTTGCAGGGTAGCTGGACCATGATAATATAATGACTGTTGTTGTAGTGTTTCACTTTGCTCATAGGCAACTCCACCTTAGGTAATAGACTTAATCAGTTGGCCATTTGAGCATCTTTACATAAATAATCTTTGGTAATAACCGAGTGGAAGAAGTAAAATTTTAATTGTGCTGAAACTAATGCAGTTGCAGATCATCCAGCATAATGATTAGTCCAGTAATATGATGTGCAGGGCTGCAGGCACAACTATATTGCAACCTTTGTTTTGGATTCTCTTTTCTTGTTTAACATTTTCCTTTCTCCATCTGCATCATCTTCGACTTATGTTTCTTTTTATCCTTTTTTCTCCTCCTTGTCTTACTGTTATTCCTCTTCATAATGTATACAGAGGTATATATTTGCAAAAAAATATTGGCAGGTCTTTTCAATCATTTGATTTTACATAAATCAGCTGCACATTTTCATCAATATCATCATTAACGTTTTATGGGCATTTTCCACGCTACCATGATTTACTTATGATTACTTGATGTTGGTTGTTGAGAAAAAACACAATGGGATGCACCCATGATTATCACAAGGGGATGGGTATAGGTTTCATTACCCAGTTGCCATTAACTACCTGTATGCTAAGCACAGCTTTATGGCTGGAAACTCTTCCTAATGCCAATCAACATAGAAATAACTAGGAAGGCAGTGAAACTCCATCAAACACTGCTTTTCAAATAATCTTAAACTTGATTTCATTAATATTATAAACTTCATACAACAGTGGTTCAGTAAATTATTATACTGTACTGTATTATAATAATATCATGCTACAGTTATTGGTAATGGGTTCACTTTTCAGAGTACTGTACTGTATTCCCTTCCCGAACCCCCCTGCCGTATAGGCTCATTGTGCTCATCCCCTGGGTACACCATTGGTGCGTTCCTTCACTATTTTAGCTAGGACTACACCACTGGTTGCAACTCCCTGAGGTAATCAGAGACTACCTGCTACTCAATTAGGAGTTTTATTAATTTTGATGGTTCAGACACTGAATTATGGGAATGAAGGCAAATCTGATTCTCAGTACTCACAACACTCCTCAATGCAGTACAGTATGTTAAATGTTGTCAAGTGACTTGTTCATGCTTAGGTGTATTTATCTTAATTCATACATACTTTATTTTATGATAGGCATAAGTTTATTAGATTTGCAGATGTTCTTTTCACTCAAAATGATGTTACTCTCTCTCAGTAAAGGAAATTTTTTGGCTTTCTGTAAGTCAAGTGTTTGCCAGTGAAACCTAACCAAATATTTATTAAGATTGTGTCATGCATATTAGTTCCATACTCCTCCATTTGAACTCTTTCAAATAAGTTTTGTGCTTTATCCTTCCAGAGTTCTGTCCGTGCTAGTTATGAATTGCTCAATGTGGAGTTAGGTGAACTGGGCACCGAAAAGAAAAAAACTGTCAGTAACAATGGCAATGCTTCAACAGGCGGACCAACATCCTCAGGAAGTCCAGGCTGTGACGGTATCCTTCGTCACTTGTGTTCACATCTTGTGCTTTTTATCAAGGCTCGGCTACAAATGATTGTGTTGTATCCTTTTACTCTTACAAATTTCTATACAGTATAACTTACAGTTAAGAAGTACATAGTTATATATCACTTGAAGTATTGTGTACCACCTCCTTCCATTTATTATAACTGACTTTAGAATTCACAATTTGATCTGGATATGTTTAGGTTGAACAGTCAGCCAAAGTTGCACCGACCCCACTCTGGGTCTCGTGCTCGCAGTTTTACCTGGCAATACTTGGCAAAGGAAGGCTGTATGTAAAGGTGTTTGTGATTGGTGGATCTGTTTTCAGCTGTATCACTGTCAGGATAAATATTAAACAAACCAAAGGTAACATTTTTATAATACAGTCTCTCCTCGACTTACGACTGGGTTCCGTCCCGTCGACCAGGTCATAAGTCGAAAAGGCGAAAATAATACATAGAAATTCTAAAATGGGTGTCTCTTTTTCTTTTGAGCACCATGAGAACACTCACTTTTACGCTTTCCAGCCTTTTTAAAGGGAATTACAAAAGAAAAAATTTTGTCAGTACACAGCGCGATCACTAACGTCGGGACTCGAAAATACGTAATGTGAAAAATATTTTATGCAACCATGGCCGTCGTATGTCCGGGTTGTCGTAAGTCAAGGCGAAACTGTAATAAACTATTCATTGTTATTTAAAGTCATGAGAGGTTCCCAAATGTTCCTATATTTGCTGAAATAATGAAGAAAATTTGATGTGAGAATCTTGTGGCAGCTGTGGTTGTATTCGAGTTACTAATTCATGAATATAATTTTCTTCATTATTTAAGTGAATATACAAAAATTTGGAAACTTCTCATGACCTTAAATAACAATGAATAGTTTATTATTATAAAAATGTTACATTTGGTTTAATATTTATCCTGACAGTGATACAGCCAAAATCAGATTCACCAATCACAATCACCTTTACACAGAGTCTTCCCTTGCCAAGTATTGCCAGGTAAAACTGCGAGCACGAGATCCAGGGTGGGGTCGGTGCATCTTTGGCTGACTATACATGTCAAATTTTACACTTCATAACTGAGCCAAACCTAGGTTGAGTGGATTGTGCACCTGCTATGTGACATCTAACTCATTAGTCATGGGTATCTCTGTCCAGGCTCAGTGAAAAACTGGTAGTTTAGGATAAGTCCCACATTTATACTAGAGATAAGGTTCTTTCCTCCCTGTTCATTCCATTATTAGTGTCTACTATATGCAGGATCAATATCATAAAATTAAGTCTTACATTTTTTCCTTTACAATTATAACAGCTATGAAAGACTGATTGAGATGTCAGTGTGTCGTTTGATGAACTTTGAAGAGTTACTGTCTCATTTGATAGATGTTAGCGCAAAGAACAGCCGAAACTTTCATCATCCTCTTTTGACTCCAATTAAAACTGGTTTCACGTAAGTGGTTCTATTTATTACATTTCTGTTTGTTGTTAATTTTAAAAAGAGAATCTCACATATCTCTTGTATTTATAGTAATATTTTAAGATTATTATTAATTGCTTTTATCATCTGCATCATGTTTAATTTATCACATTAACTTATGTTAAGTATTATTATATCCTCCACGGTTTTCCCCATCTTTAACTACCATTTTATGAAAACCTTTTTCATGAACAAGAGACAATACAGATGAGGTACAATATAAGCTCACAAACTAGTCCAGTACAGTACAGTATAACTGAGCCATCTGTTATCATGCACTGAGAGCATAGTGGCAATTATAACTACTGTAACTTAGTCGTCTTTCTAATCATATTTCTAACAAAAATTACACGATATGGATGTTGCCACTTGTACGCATGTATCACACACACACACACACAGAGAGAGAGAGAGAGAGATATATATATATATATATATATATATATATATATATATATATATATATATATATATATATATATATATATATATATATATATATATATATATATATATATATATATATCCATAAGCTACCACTACCTTGCTTGGCATTTCTACAATTTGTTTGAATTTGTTTGAGGCAAAGGTAAAATTGCTCATGACTCACCCTGTATACTATGTGATGGGGTTCTTCCCAAGCCAATCTTTGCCACTTACTCTTTATTTGTAACATACTGATATACAGAAGATGAATTTCTTTATGACTTATTAATATTAATTATAACATTATTTACCTAATGCTTTCAGATATGAGTGTGATATTCTCATACACTTATTGAGAAGTCAGATAGAGATGCAATGCTGGCGATTCTTACCTTCTCTGCTCCACCTGCACGATGCTCACTCGAAGCTCAACAGTTGGCACACACTTGTTCAGTCAAAAGAGGTGGGAATGTGAAGATCACTAAAAAGAATATTCTATGAGAGTGTATCAGAATTTGTATGCCTAAATACTGTATGTTTGTGCCTGTAACTGTATCTTTTGCCAAATTATACTAGTCATGTAATATTAATGTGCAGTGGTCCCTCAGTTAACAAACACAATTCGTTCCACCGAGTCACTCGTTAACCAAAAATTTCATTAACCGAATCCATTGTTTCAATGGGGTATTGGGTAATTGGTTCTAGCTCACAGAAAAGTACATACAAAGTAAAAAAAATGCAGTAAAGTACACTTACTTTGAGGTGTGTATGTAGAAGGTTCCTGGTTGATGATGATGATGGGAATTAGAAGTGGGGGTGGAGGAGAAGGGAGAAGAGAAGGAAGTGGGGATGGAAGAGAAATCACCTTTCAGGGGACCCATGCTTGATGCAGTAATTTCACCAATAAAATTTTAAGTTCACTAGGTATAATTCAAGCTTATTTTATTTAAATCAACACTGCACTGTGCTATATATTATCAATATGTTAACCAAATTTCAGAATGACCAGTAATTTTAATGTAAAAATGCAAAAATATTCAAGACACCAACAAAATCGATGTTCACTCCACTGTAAACAGAGCCAAACTGACGCCTTGTGGATGAGTCAAGGGGCTGATGGACGCACAAAAAACTAGTTCCCTGTACTGCATCTATTATCAGTATGTTAACTAAATTTTAAAATAACTAATAATTTTAATATAGAAAATGCAAAAATATTAAAGAGCACAACTTTCTTGATATTTACTCAACTGGAAACGAATGTAAACATAGAACAGATTACTGAATTGGCAGACTAGCCCATCAGCTGATGCTCACAACAAAACGTGTTTGTCGTAAGGATTTCGTTAATCGAAGTTTTGTTCGTTAACCGAATTGAAGATCCTTATGGGAGGTAATTCATTAACCGAAATTTAGTTCATGTCTTTGTCCATATTATTTGTCCTGTCACATTATAAATCAAAATGTCATTCAACACTACTTATTTGTTTACAGACAAAGAAGTATGGATTTGGCTCAAGTTTCTTGAAGTCTTCTCCCCTGCCAGCCTTATACCAGTGGTTTTGGCAAGCAAAAGCGGCATTTGTTTCCAAGTTTTCTCTCTATTTCCATGAGACACTGGCAGCACAGAGCTCACCAGCAGACATGAAGGCTCTTATCTCCAGACAAGGACAAGCATGTGATTATGTGTCAAAGTAAGTTTTAGAAAACAAACTGGTACTGAAATACTCGTATGCTGCTGAACTATACCATCTTGCATCAGTGTTCACAAAAGATTACTGTATCTGAAATCATCACCATCACCATGTACAGGGTATACAAATGATCATCAGAAATTAATATCAACTTAAAAATTATTTTATTAAATCTTGCATGATGGTTTTTCTAGAACACAGACTTTATAGATTAGAAACAAAAAGTTTATTGTGATATGACTTACGGTATGCAACCCTCAAAAACTAACATAAATGCAACAAATCATGAGCTTAAGTTTCAACATAAGAACTGGAAAACATGGGTGAAACTGTATAAAGAAAAGCTTAGATTTAGATGGCTACTTTGTTCTCTGATGATAACATACTGGAAGATGATCATTCACTACATATCACTTCATGTCATGGTAAGATTTAGGAAAAGGGGATCACATGAAGATTAGGCACCTCAGCTTATTTACCTGATGATTAAATACCCTAACACTAACCTCCTTGGATAGTGAGGGTGCTTAATCATCTGGTGAATAAGCTGGGGGCCAAATCTTAGCATGATATGAAAAGAGCATTTTGAATATCCTATTACAGGTACACTCACCACAAAAAATTTCTCGTATGGCTGGGTACGACAGATTTCAGAATGAGCATGATGGCTGTGTCATCTCAGAATGGTTGGTTGCCTGGTTGCGAAGTGGCTCCCAACATTTCTTAATAATTTATGTTGCTCATCTTAATAGTATTTACAGGTGAAAAAAATAATAATTTGCTATAAAACTTCTTCGGAGAGCAATGTTCAGATTTCTCGTTCGTTTCATAATAGTACTGTATTGTATTACGTTTAGAGCAGTCGAGAACTTTTTCTGGCTAGTGTACAGTATATTCATTAAATTTATTTTAATATTTATTACTCCACAGGATTCAGAGCTTTCAGCGAAGGAGTGATGCAGCGAGTGTGTGCTTGGTCTTCGAAGCTGCTGGTGTGGAGGACTACCAGGGTGCTGGCTATCATCATCCTGAAGAGTCAATGCCCCCTCCTAAAGGCCTGGATAGTTATCCTGCTATCTTCACCTATCCTCCTGTAAGCTCTTGAATATATATTTGGGTATATTGTCAACTAAGTGGTTGCTGAATTAAGGATGAAAGATTGATAAACAATGGTTGTGGAGAGAGGAATTGTAAAGAAGGGAATGAAATACAGTGAGTTCTGCTATAACGCGTGTTTTGATAACGCGAATTTGCTCTAACGCGATTTATGAATTAGGAACGATATTTGTATAACGCGAACGCTTGTTTGCTATAACGCGATTTTTGCTTACTATTTCTCCAATTTTGTGGTACAATATTAACTGTGAATATAGTAAAGAAGAATATCAACAAGAAGCGTTCTGGTGATAGAATTCCCGGTGATGATCGTAAAAGAAAGGATATAACACTTGAAGAGAAGCTCGATTTTATCAACCTCAAAATCACCCTTCTCCCCCATCAAGTAAAGTGTTACATTTACTGTATGATTTCATTATTAGATATGAATGTAACATTTATTTAGACTGTGCTATCCTTTGTGTTAGGCTAACTACTAAATTTTTTCGATTTCGAGTAATCTGCACCTAACCCTATTTTCTCCATAAGCCCTGTTATTTCTATTACGCGATTTTCTATAACACGATATTTTACAAGAACACAATTATCGCGTTATAGCAGAACTACCTGTACAGTATAAGAGTACAGGTTGAACCTCATGAGTCCGGCAAGCTTGGGACCAGATTATTGGTATCACTACTGCTCAAAACCATTAAAAAAAAATTGAAGGAATTTGCATACATAGTTTGCATATACAGTACAATATTAAATTACCATGTTATCCTACCAACTAAAAATTAGATATTCTACTCCTCGTGTAACACAGAATCTCTTGACTTATTTTCAGACCAAACCTATGGACAGATGGCCAAGCATAGTTATGCGCGTTTCAGATCGCAGCAATGAACATGATTTACTGGACCGTGTTGTGCATTTTTATGATCAACAGGTTAGTACAGTACAAGTATTATAAGAATATGTATACATACCTGTACTGTATATCAAGCTGTTTAGCTGTTTCTTGCCTAAAGGATGGGATAACTCACTTTCTGCTGTATTTTATTTACTGCATTTATAAAGTTCCTTGCAAGGAATGTAATATGTTTTACTTAGGCCAGACAGGTAAAGATCTTGCAACTAGAATTAAACAACACAAATACAGTGTTAGGACAGGCCAGGAATCCAATGCTCTGTTTGTTCATTTGAGGGATAACAAGCATTGCATTGACTGGGATAATGCCTCCTCAATATTACCATGTAATTCAATTGATAGTAGGAACATCATAGAATCTAGTCTTATTAAACATACAGAAGCATTCAACATGAATTTGAGTAACGGCATGTACAAGCTGGACAATTTTGTAATTAAGAAGATTTGTGACCAGGTGAGAAGGCCGGGTCACCTGACCATCTGACCTGACCACCAACCGTTGTGTGCTATTTAAAGATTAGTAGGGTCATTACCTAATACCTGACCATTGTGGACCTGGTCTCACCCTCCTCTGTATATATACACCTTGATTTGTATTTCTCTCTAGTCTGTACTCACCCCTGAAGATGTGAATTACACGAAAGCGCTTGGGAACTTCGTGTTTTCTTCTTTCCTTGTGGTTATCAGCATATACCTAGATCATAGTACCTACAGTGATATTACTATATATATATATATATATATATATATATATATATATATATATATATATATATATATATATATATATATATATATATATATATATATATATATATATATATATATATATATATATATAAATATGTGGAATGCTTTTGTTTTATGTTAGAACTGTTTCCTCTTCTTTTCTATGTGCCAGCTCCTCCACTTCTTGAGCTGTACTGCAGATAGAGAATTTACAGTATTTATTTTGGGATAGACTTCAAGTGCCAGTCTCTGTTTTAATGTGGAAAAAGCTGTATAATTCTCAGAATGACAACATTTTACAGCTATAAAAGGGTCATTATTTTGTAACTAAAGCAATTTTCTTTTCTTATTTACAGGTTGGATCAACTTACTTCTTGTGCCGAGTGGAACCCAGGATAACTTTTGTTGCTGTATTTGATGCCAAAAAATCAGAGAAGGATAACTACATCCGAGACTTTGTGTATGACTTGGTAATGCAGCTGAGGTGTAATAAGGTATTTGCAAACTTGAAGCCCAAATAGTGTTAAGATTATCATATACCTTCATGTACTCTACGGTAATTATGATATGGTTGGAAAACTCAATTGTATGATTAAAATTCGTGATTTGTTCTTGTAAAGTTGTCTATACATGTACAGTATATTTTTATCCATATGATATCCTCTATTTTATAAACTTTTGTAGTCATATATATTTTAATACTGTTTATTGTATATTTGTTGTACATACAAGGCATATTAGAGCACCAAAAGATAAGTAGGTGTGTAAGGGAGATGCTTTAATGCAGATGAAGTGGAGAGCATCAGTGATGTAACTCTTGTGGTGAGTGAGTAATTCCAGTGTCATGACCAGTTCAGATGGATATAATGTACTGCATTTATATATTCACAGCTGCCTTATGTCTTCATAAATGAGGTTTTGAAGGTCTTAACTGATAAAATTTGGTACTGTCCAGGATTAAAAGAGAAAAGGTGAGGTGAGCAAAAGTTCCACATGCAGAACTGTGAATCGATGAAAACTTGTTCTTATCTCAAGAATATGTCTCATATCCCATTTTCGAAGTCACTACATTTATAATAAACAAAAGCTCCTTATGTCAGCCATGAATAATAACAATGTGGAAGATGTTCTGCCTCTGACTGCATCCAGATTTATTGCACTGTAGGTTCTAATTTACTTTATCTTCTTCGCCACTGGTCAGCTCTAGTTGGTCGGGAGATTGGTCAGTCATATTTCTGTTACACAGTATTGATCAGTTGAATCTTGGCACTAGATTGATGAAGGTGCCCTTTTAGTGTCAGGTAAAGATCCAAAGGATACAGTTAACAAGTTATCAAGTTAATTGACATAATGTAAACAATGGCTCCCAGAAAAACAAATTATCCCTATATCTTGAAGAGACTGAAGCAATATTATTTGACAACATGGTGGATATAGAAATTTACGCCTAGAAATTTGAGATACTCCGTTATCCCTTTCACTGCAATTCCCGCATTTGCCATTTTATTCTGGCTACCATCAGACAATTTTATTCAGCTTAGGGTAACCTTCCACAGTCAAAGGGTTAATATTGATTTGCACAAGAAATGATATGAAGTCGTATGTTTTTTTATAGTGTTTGTGTCTGCAATACACTAGAGTCTGCATTTACGCGGATTTGGTTTACGTGTTTGGTCATTTACGCGGCACCTTGCCAGAATGAAAATTTTAAGTTAAGCGGATCATTCCATCACTTACGCGGGAAGCGGCGCCTGGAGGGTGCGCATTAGGTCACTCTTATGTTATCACTGACGTCATATGACGTATCGGACTGTGATTGGGCCACGCATCCTTACCTCCCTCCGCCGCTAGCTGTGATTGATCTAATGTAACATGACGTGCCCTGCCACCAGAGGGAAGAAGTCGCTGACCTAGCCGGGCCAGTCTCATTGTTCTCAGTTCTCCGCGTATACTATTCTCTCTTGTGCCCGCTATTCCCCTCACAATGGATTCCGCTGGACCCCCACCACCCCCGAGAAACCTTGAACTACCTGGACCAAGCCATGGTTATGTGAAGGAAGTCATCGAGTTGGGGGAGAAAATCAAGCTCATCCTTGACAAAGACACAGTCAAGCATCGGAATGAAGTGTCTAATAACCTTCTGTCGAAAATTATGGAGCCGTATGTCCAGATGTGTCACGACAACATCAATGCTAGTCTCGCCCACAACCCACCACAACCACAGCTAGCCCAAGTCAGTGATAGTGACAGTGAGGATATGAACTTTGAGGGGTTTGTCAGGGAGGCCCTACAAACCTCTGTGAATAGTGATAGTGATTCACCGGAGGGCCACTAATCTGCCCTCTGCCTCGGAACCAGCCGCCATCCACGTGTGCCGACCCATCTCTTCTACTAACGTACAGTAAGTGTTAAACACCTTTATATTGTAGTTCTTTATTTAGATATTATGTGTGTGTCAATACCATCATAAAATTATGATGTTATTTTTACTACAAGGTACGTATTGTGTCGGAAAAAGTGGAGTTTGGGAGTCGGCCCAGTCTCTATTTCAATTAATCCCATATGTTATGTTATTTCGTTTACGCGTTTCTCGTTTTACACGAACCTCCACGGGTTCAATTGATCTCGTAAATGCAGACTATACTGTATTGAAATTTTGAAACCTGCGAACAGCCAATATATGAATATTAACTGCCAATTGTAAGCTTGTTTAATGTATTTAAGGTAAATTTTTACCTTTGGACACGAGTCCCGAGTGGTTGACCATTGTTTTTTTCCAGCATATTTTGGCGTGTTTTAAGCAAATCTAATCTTCATTTTTGTCGGAAATTGCTCGTTTTTGCCCCAACCTGATCCCCCCAATAATGGGAGAGAGCCTGAGGAATCAGGGTTTTTGGGTTGGTGAGAACACGAAAACGAGTCGTCTAACCTAACGTATCTAACGTAACATAACGTAACCTAACGTAACCTTACCTAACCCCTGCCATGGACCCCGGTAGGCCTAGCTTAAACTACAATTACAGAACCACTGGTGCTTGTCCTTTCTAAATTTACAAGGCAATTTACAGTGCGCGCACTCAATAGACGTAGGGAAAACGCTGTGATTAGGTAGGAATTGAATAGCATGATCGTCTTTTTCGTAAAACTCGGCAATAAACTAAAAATAATTGTAGGAGCACGAATCACACCCAACCTCCACCACGGCCATTGTCAGACTGATGATTGAAATTCAAATGTGATTGGTTAAAAAAAATCGCGTGATGAGATCGGATACATCATTGGTCATGACTGGAAGACGTCAGTCAACATTACGCATGTGTGGTGTAACCACACTCATAATTAACTCGGTTTCACGCAGATGAAGACTGAAAATGACATAAAATTAATTAAATTCAATTGTGTCGTTATTTTCCATTTCCAGATGGTAAAAATCGGGTTTAAAATGCCCAGAATAGGGATATCCAAATGTTTCAATAGTTTATAACTTTGGGGCACTATGTCCGAAAATAAAATAGGTAAATTTGCATAAGTGCACACAACTCTGTTGGAAAGTAAAATATATGTTTTTCTAGTGTTTTTATGTGTGTTTAGGTCGCTTATGACTTTAATTTCCGTCGGAAATTGGCCAGTTTTTTATCGTTTTTTTTTTTTTTGGTGGGGCGTTTTCCGACAAAAATTATGGCTAAGCGAATACAAAATACACAAAAAAACACTAGAAAAAATAAACCTGACCTAACCTAACTGACTCTCACCATATGATGGAATCACTTATTTCTTATCTTATTGGCCTGGTTCTCATTCGTCATTGGAGTTACCACAATGCCACATATGTTGGTCTTGCCGATAGTAGCATTCGTTCTTGCACTTAGGACACTTTATTGAGGTCGGGAGAACACCATGTGATCGAAAAAATGCTATAGTTTCTTCGTTTTTCTCCCAAAAACTCGCATTCACCTCCATATAATTGAAGTGATACCCATCGCAGACTTCCATGGTCGGAAATGAATTTCGAAATATGAGAGACAAAATAAAAATGAATTTGATTGGGCCAATAATACAGCGAATTAAACCACAAATAATTTTAATTGGTTGCCCCCCCCAAAAAAAATGCTTTTGATGGGCCGCGTGACGTGTATGGGAACGCATGATAATGGCGGAAGATTAATGGAAGAAAATAGAGAAAATTTTGGATACACTACTTCCGTTACTATACATTTGCGACGATAATATAATATAAGAAAATTATCGTATAATGAGACGTCTTATTCGAATATGATAATATATTAGGGGTAGGAATGTTGTGTGCGAAAATGCAATAATACCGTAAAATAAACGGATTTTAATGAATACATATCTTACTAGCTGCTCATTTAAGTGCCTACACTACATATAGACAACTACTTTACCGGGGTCCGGACACTTCACCAGGACAAAACCTCCTTGGGTTAGGTTTGTTCAAGGGGGTTTTACTCCACTCTAACTTCACAGCTATATTATATTACAGTATATACTATATAATAAACCATTATTTGTACTATCTAGTCCATAGCCATCATGTATGTTATTGTACATGTCAGGAATTTCCAATAAAATCATTAAATCAGTCGAAATCGTCGTGTCTTTAAAGACCTTGTGACGTCATATGTAAATACTAATATGAAGGAACTACCAGCTTAAAAATAATATTGATAATATTTAAAATAGTGTTTGATCATTTTAATAATATTATAATACTAAAGGCTGTTTTTGAATAAAACACATGCTATACAAAACGAAATCATTTTATTTAAGAATCAATGCAACAATATGTTACATACAATGTTTTATTATCCAAATCCTGCCGTTTCCTCTATAATAAAAATAATACAACGATGATGTAAATTTTATATATATAGTAATTATGGACTTGGGTTAAGTGAGACAATTCATTATCCTTTTTCCAGATCATTGTTCTCATATATTCATCCGATATCTGCGGTAGCTATGTTTACTAATGGTTCACAGACGTAAATATTATGACCTTCAGACACGGTTACACTTATCCCTTATAGTACACTAGTCAATATCAATTGGGCCTTCCCAATCATCCTATAGATACCTTGAGTTCTCCTTAATGCTATCAGTACATACTCATAATATTATATGTCCATACATTGGTACAGTCGTGAACAGAAGTCCTGTCGCCCCTTGTGCTGTTCCACGAACACTGAGATTCAGACTCATGAACCCGAAGCAGTAGACACTGGTGCATTATTCTGCCCACACTGATTAGTCTTCACTTAGAATATGACTCCAATGTATGTGATCCACTGATCCATATATGCTGCTGGTGAATGTGATGTATTTCCTTCTTTGTGTACGAACCTCTGTCCTGCATGGCAGTGAACAGTGGCATTACCCACATGAATCTGACCTATATATAGTGTCAATGAATATGATGCATTCTTTGTGTACGAACCTCTGTCCTGTATGGCAGTGAAAAGTGACATTACCCACATGAATCTGACCGACGTATATGTATGTACAGTATGTGTGCGTGTGTGCATGTATATGTACGTGTACATGTATATGTGTATGTATATACGTATATGTATGTATATGTGTGTGTGTGTGTGTTTACATATATGTATATG